CACCTTTTCATCCTGTCTAACAATCAAAATAAAGGTGGGCTATTGTGTGAGCTAACCAAGTTCGCTCAAATACTTGGCAGTAGTATACGCAAATTTTTGCCCCTCCATCTGTGGTCACTATGAGTTCAGATCACTTTTAGTTGATTGGTCAATTAGAAAACAAGATGAGCCTCATTCAAATCATCATCGCTTTGCATGGATTCGCACAGCGGTATTTTCATTGAAAAAACTATTCTGTCTATATGACAAAATCTATTCAACATTGTTTACTAGAGGGGCGTTTTTATTGCCTAGTGCAATTACTTAGGTTAAGTTTAAAATGCAGAAATGTAAGTGCATGACTAACTGCTTTTCTAGTGAATCATGACTGGCACCATCAGTTGTTGCCCCTCCGCATGGGCATTTGAGTTCATTGTGATGTGCTTCACCTCAACTTAATGGGTGATTATGTAGCGGTAAATAGACAATGGTCTATTGACAAAGATCAAAGAAGACATCGAAGCTGCCTACACAGATTGCTTACACCACTTTTATGAAAAGATGGAGATCAATCCTTCCGTGGAAACGTCGGGTATTTTTTAGTCCAAATATGTTTCATTGGAAATGTCAAATTTACGTTTTGGTTATTTGGTCTAACTTCAAACAAACATGATTTCTACCTCACATGAACTCTTCCATAGGCTAAGGCGATGTTTCAGTGTTTTGCGCTCTTCGCCTTGAATTTACTCCTGTTATGTTAAATTACAGTACTGCCGGAACTAGACCGTATTTTTCCGGATGTTGGGCTGTTTTGATTTGAAATTGAGACTTTGTTTTATCGCTAATTGAACGTAAAAATCTGTAATTAACTATACATAGGATGTGTATTCACCACACAATTCAATGATTACGTCTTTGAGCTATCTGCGCAACTGCGTTTTTTTTTTGCGACGAAACTCGTGATCAAAATAGGATAATTTTTCCTCTATGTATTTGTCTGCCATTCACAGATCAGGCAGTGGTCTCAAACCGAGGTAGTGATGATGGACCCTTAAAACAGCAGGCATAGTCAAGGGTACCGCACTCGGACTCAGCGCTCATGGTGATCGAACACTTAGTACTGTAGAAATTAATGAAGATATAACTATGGGGAATATTTGGACTAACGAACCAGGTTTATTGGCCTCAAATCGAGGAGAAGCGCATTTAAGCTCTGGATTAGGGAAGTGCATCATTTGCGACTTGTTTGTAGTCCATTAATCACCAAAACAATCTAATTGCGATTAAATTGAAGATATACTGATTCGATAAGCTTACGTAACTACACTTCAACCTTTTTTCCCCCTGCAGAAAATCTCGGCAGTCAACACTGCCTCGTTCAACCTCAAGAAGAGCGAGAAGTTTAAGCGCCTCCTGGAGTTGGTGCTGGCTTTCGGAAACTACATGAACAGCTGTCGTCGTGGTGTTGCGTACGGCTTTCGTCTGCAGAGTCTTGAACTCGTAAGCCTTCTGATTGCTTTTTCTTTTTCTGGTGGGTCAAGTAGAATGTTTTGCACGCCATAAACCCAGCAGCTCAGTTTTTAGTAGACTGAAGAGGACCCACTATTTTAAAGGACTTTAATGGATTTATTAGTCACCCTGTTTCTTGCACTTCTAGGTCACTGGTGTTCCACTGATTTGTTTGCTTGAATACACCTTAAATAGATCAGAAAGAGGACGATTAGTATATCTTTCGGGAATTGAGATGGTCTTATTTTCAAAAGGTTTGAAAGAAGCACCCTTTGGACGATGTTCAGAGCAATAGTTTCTTGTGATTCATGAGAAAAGTGTATCAAGTTTAGAAGTTTATGACCCATCTTCCGGAAATTTAAGCAGTCGATTTGATTAAACCAGGCAACCAACACTCATTGACGAATTCATTAACCGCTTGCCTGCTTGAGGAAGTTGAAAATACTCATTTCTCTCCTACGGTTTTTTTCATGACTACCTGAATTATTAGACTCTTAGGGGCATCGAAAGTCCGGATGTCACTCTGACTACTGTTTGAATAAGCTTATTGTGGAGGGCCTATTCTTACTCAGTGGCGATTTAAATCACCAAAATTCAGTTGTGTTTTATATTGCGAGTTCATGCAGTTGTAGTCAACCCATTGTGATACATCGAGAAAGAATAGTAGGCGCTGTGTTCTTTTTCAAATTCTTTATTCGACCCATTCCATTGCGTAGCCAACATTGTAGTGCCCCAGTTACTTTTGAGATCATTATATGAAAGTAGCATTCGGTAAACAAGCCTACATAATAAGAACCATGGACTTCTTAAGTTGAAGTAGACTATGTGCTTCTTTAAAAGCAATTAAAGTACCTCCACAATGAGCTCCCAAATGCTGAATTTTACCGTGAAATTTCAGCGATTCGTGATTGTAGCTATGCTCAGTATTTATTTGCGTCAGAACTAACACCCTAGCTACATTGGTGGCTAATTAAATAGCTAGCAGTGAGCTAATCGCTTCAATGGCCCGTCCTAGATTTTAGTGATCAAAATGAGGAAATTCCTTAAATTACATTTACAACCTCTCAATGTGCCATTCCTGGCAGTGAGAGTCAGGAGACGTTGACCTCCTTTAGGTCTTAATGCATTCACTAGTACGAGTCGAGTGGTCATTATTTCTTAGGTCGACTACTTATCCCTATTCAGCTTTTTAAAAGACAATATTCAGTTTATTCATTAAGTGCGGTGTTAAATTCAACTAAATGCTTGCATTGGGTATCTCTATCCCTACAAAATTCATCCTGTTCTAGTACGGGGATTAGCTTTCGCCTCTTATTTCCCATCATTTACGCTTCTGCCTCTTACTTGGTCGCTTTTATCGCAACTGAGTCACCTGCTTGGCCATTTATAAGGTGTATTTTTTGCCTCTGCTGTCTATTCACAGGACCGACTCATCGTTTTTACCTTCACAGCTGTTAGACACGAAGACGCCGGACAAGCAAACAACTCTGCTTCACTTCATTGTCGAAATTATCGAGGAGAAGTTCCCTGATCTGGCTAATTTCTATGATGAGTTGGACGGAATCACGGCTGCTGCTAGGGGTGAGTGCATTTTCTTTGATACTAGATCGGCTTCACAGCTTCGTTGGTTCTTCTTAGTTATTATTAAAGAAGCTGTTTGAAGGAATCTAATATGCAAGTGATTCTAATGCTAACGCATGGTACAAGCTTCCATCTTCTCCTCTCCAACGCTCGATTTGATCACTCTTCTGCCTCGACCATAAAAATTCATCAGGTGAATTGGAAAATTAACTGCCAGGCAGAAATAAAAATCGGAAGATGATTACCCCACATTAGTGGGAAGACTTCCACAGTTAATGGTAGTTGTGTGTCTCTTCGATATCGATGAGCTCACTTATTATTTGCTTGCTAAGCTTGGCTTAAGAATGAATGATGCCCTCTAGTAGGTTTGGTCTGTGGGTCCAATACATTTCTTAGGAACAGTTGCCCGGACATGAAGGTGAACAATAAACTACGCCGTCCAGTTCCGTCCTACTTTCATCCTTTCCAAGGCATTTTCACTTAGTGCTACCCGTCTGCCCTGACTCATTTTTAGCTTCTTGCAAAATACGCGAAAGCGTCAAGTCCTCAGCTAATGTCTACTATTCGTCCTTGTCACATTATAGACAGCTCTTTAATTTACTACTTCGATTCGTTCAAGCCTTGCCCTACTACATTACAGCTGTCTCTACAGACGCTTGGCTTCTGTGGCAATTTGGCAGTGTGTTCAGTCAGCAAAATTCGGATTATTGTTCTTTTGTAATGAGTTTACCAGTCGTGCATAAAAATTTGCAGGTTGTTATAAAATGGAATTGCAGAAAGTCGGTGGGAATAGTAGTGGGGCCTCATGTCACTGTTGAGGGGACTGAATCACGGGGGACTGGAAAGACCCATGCAGTAGCACGTTTTGTTTTCAAGGTCCACAAAATCAGATTACCCAGAGCAGAGAGAGAACCTTTTTTCCAAAGAATAAAGGCATATTTAGATGCACGCTGGAAACAATTTTTAAGGCTAGAAATGCTTAGTTCCCTGAGAGCTTACTATTTTTGAGCTAGACCTGTTAGTTACCATCAAAACAGAAGAAAAATGTGAATGAACTAATTATTAAGTTTTTTATATTATTCTTAAAAACTTTTGTGATGCGGCTGGTTGGAATCCGGTTTGGCTGAAGATACTTAGTTTGGAATTTGGCTCGTGATGTTATAAGAATTTGACAGCATCACACTGATCAAACAGTTTTCCATCTAACAAGTCAACTTCAATGTTTTCAGTTTATGTGGAGGAAAAATCACATATTTTTTTTTCAATAAAGACATGCATTTGCAGGTGACAAATCCTTCTTTGTGGAAGTAAGTACTTTTAAATTGTACTCGCAGAAGATGGAAGGTGTAATTTTGATTTGAGAGTCGTTGTCCACGGCAAAATGATAGCTTTTTGAGGTTCTTCTAACGGTTGTCACCATTGCATGAATGCGGCTGCATTCTGCTGTATGCCGAAGGCTGCGGACAGAGGGTGTGGACAGAGAGCACAAATTCATCCGTCATCATGCTTGCTCAGTGTGAAGATAACTTTCCCC